ACTGATCTTTTACCCAGCAACTTCTGACGCTCATTTATTGGTTCTATTAGTTGTGCTATGGATTCCTTAAGATTTTCATAAACAGGATAATTTCACCTGCAAATATTGTTTTTCTTGTTGTTTTTAATATAAAGATGTGGTTTCGCTATGTTGCCCAGGGGTTGTCAAACTCTTGGCCTTAAGCTGTCCTTCCCACCTCGGCCTCCCAAAGTGTTGGGATTACAGGCGTGAGCCACTATACTTGGCCAAATACAGACAGTTTTACTTATTCTTTTTTTTGAGATGGAGTCTTGCTCTGTCGCCCAGGCTGGAGTGCAGTGGGGGATCGTTGCTCACTGCAACCACCACCTCTGGGTTCAAGCTATTTTCCTATCTCACCTTCCTGAGTAGCTGGGATTACAGGAACATGCCACCACGCCTTGCTAATTTTTGTAGTTTTAGCAGAGACTAAAATTTCACCATGTTGGTCAGACTGGTCTTGAACTCTGACCTCGTGATCTGCCTGCCTTGGCCTCCCAAAGTGCTGGGATTATAGGCATGAGCTACTGTGCCAGGCCTACTTATTCGTTTTTTAATCTGTATGCATTTGATTTGTTTATCTTGTTGTATGCTCTTCTAGGGCCTCAAGCACAATGCTGAGTAGATGTGCTGGGAGCGGACATTCTTGCTTTGTTTCTGATCAGTGGAAAAATAATTTAGTCTTTCATCATTATGTGTGACATTAGCTGTAGGTTTTTTCCAGGTGCCCACTGTCAGGTGAGGAAGTTGCCTTATATTCCTACTTTTGTGAGAATTTTTTTATCATGAACAGATGTTAGGTTTTGTCTGTGTGTATTGTGGGGGTCGGCAAACATTTTCCATAAAGGGCCCAGTAATAAACATTTGAGGGTTTGTGAGCCATATGATCTTCGTCACAACTACCTGACTGCTACTGTCATGTGAGAGCAGACACAGATAATACATAAATAAGTGGGTGTAGCTGTGTTCCAAGAAAGCTGTATTTACAAAAATAGGTGGCAGGCAGGATTTGGCCTGTGGGTTGTGGTTTGTTCATTCTTGGTCTATTAAAATGATCATGTGGTTTGTCCTTTATTCTACTAATATGACATATTATGCTATTTTAGTTTTGGATATTAAACTAATTTTCTATTCCTGGGATAAATCTGACTTGGTTATGGTGTATAATCCTTTCTATACACTGCTGGTGTCAGTTCGTTAATGTTTTGTGAAGAATATTTTTGTGTTTCTATTCATGAGAGATACCAGTCTGTTCTTTTCATGTGATGTCTTTGTCTGGTTTTGTTATCAAGATCATACAGGCCTCCCTGAATTAGCTGGGTAGCATTTCTTTCTCCTACTCTAGTTTCTGAAAGAGTCTGTGTAGGATACACACTATTTCTTTGCAAAACTATTTACCAGTAAAGACACACGAGCCTGTGTTCTTCTTTATAAGAAGATTTTAATTACTAATGCATTAAAAAAAGTGAGGGGTCTATTCAGTTTTTACATTTCTTTTTAAATCAGTTTTGATAGTTTGTATCTTTCTAAGAATTGTTCATCTATAACGTTTAATTTGTTTAAACTTGTTTCTAATATTGTATTCCTTTATATTTAATTTCTGCAGGATTAGTAATGATGCCCTTTTTTCATTCTTTGGTAATCTGTGTCTCCTCTTTTTTTCTTGCTCATTCTAGGTAAAGTCTTATCTATTTTATTGATCTTTTGAAAGAATCAGCTTTTGGTTTTACTGATATTATCTACTGTTTTTCTGTTTCCTATTTCATTGATTTGTGCTCTAATCTTTACGATTTCTGCCCTTTTGCTTATGTGAGGTTTACTTTACTTTTTTTTTTTTTAACGTTTCTTAAGGTAGAAGCTTAGATTATCTGATGTTTCTTTTATTCTAATGTAGGATTTAAAGTTATAACTTTTCCTCTAAGCGCCACTTGAACTGTATCCCACATATTTTGATATGCTGTATTTTCATTTTCATTTCATTCAAACTGTTTTTAAATTTTCCTTTAAAAGTATGTTGCTTAATTTCCAAATATTCAATTTTGAAAATACCTTTCTTTTGTTGATTTCTAATTTAATTATGTTTGGTCAATAAACATATCTGTATGATTTCATTCCTTTCAAATTTGAGACTTGTTCTGTGACCCAACACGTGGTCTATCCTGGAGAGTGTTCCATGTGTACTTGAAAAGAATATGTATTCTGCTGCTGTTGGGTGGATGCTCTGTAGATGTCAGTTAGATCATGCTGGTTAATGGTGCTGTTCAACTCTACATTCTTGCTGTCTTTCTATGTTCTATTATTGGGGTATCAAAGTCTCCAACTATTATTTTGAATTATCTCTACTTCTTTTCAGTTATTTCAGGTTTTACTTCATTTATTTTGGGGAATTTTTTTGTAGCTCAAAATTTTAAATGATCTAGATGTCTATCAATAGCAGAATGGGTAACCTGAACTATTTACATAATGTAATACCAATACCTCAGTGGACAGGAACAAATGTTGTCTAACAACATAAATGTCTCTCATCAACACAATGTTGAGTGAAAGAAGAAAGTTGCAAAGGAAAATACAGTGCATGGTTTCATTTATGAAAAGGTCAGAATTAGAAACCACATCGTTTGGAAATATACACACAGATGGTAAAATTATGAAGACAGTGATGACAGGTATCCCCAAAATCAGGAGAGTTTTTACTTCTAGAGGGTATATTGGGACTTCTGGGCTGTTGGGATTGACCTTTTCTTGATCTAAATAGCCATTATATGATTATTTACTTTGTAACTATTATTTAAAAAAATACATCTATAGTTTATTTGTATATATGATCTTTCAATTTACACTGTTAAAAATAAAAGTAGAGGTTGGGTGTGGTGGCTCACACCTCTAATCCCAACACTTTGGGAGGCTGAGGCTGGCGAATCATGAAGTCAGGAGATCAAGACCATCCTGGCTAACACGGTGAAACCCCGGCTCTACTAAAAATACAAAAAATTAGCTGGGCATGGTGGCACATGCCTGTAGTGCCAGCTATTCGAGAGGCTGAGGCAGGGGTATCTCTTGAACCCGGGAGGCGGAGGTTGCAGTGAGTCAAGATTGTGCCACTGCACTCCAGCCTGGGCAACAGAGTGAGACTCTCTTTCAAGACAAAAAAAAAAAAAAAAAAGAGGGGTTGGATTTATTAGTAGGTGAGATCTTGACTATGTTCTAGATATGACGTATGGCCAGAAATAGGGAATTATTCTTATGACTCAATAAACTTCTTAAATTGGGTATAAAATATGTTCCTTCCAATTTCACTGTGAGACTAGTGAGTAACAATATAATTTAACACCAAACCCATCTCAAGTTTAACTTATCTTACACCAAAGAAAAGCTGACTTTAAGTAAACTATTTCATATTTTAAATATAATAGGGTAATTTCGATTTGAAAAACCATGCTTTGATGAGCAAAGATTATTTCTAGACAGAGACAGTGTACAACTTACCATTTTTAATGTTGGGCTTTTAAGAGAGTAGATATTCAAGTGGGACAAGTAGAACATGCTGGGAGTGAGTTTCACAATCCAGTAACTGACATTATATTAGAGATAAGGAAGTTCGTGCAATATTGGTCCAATATTTGGACAAATCTAACAGAAGAGACAGACAAATAAGGATAACTGTTTCCATTTTGTTTGTTTGTTTGTTTGTTTGTTTGTTTTGACGGAGTCTCACTCTGTCACTCAGGTCTATCACCCAGGCTGGAGTGCAGCGGCCTGATCTTGGCTCATTGCCACCTGCACCTTCCAGGTTCATGCGATTCTCCTGCCTTAGCCTCCTGAGTAGGTGGTACTACAGGTGCATGCCACCATGACCAGCTAACTTTTGTATTTTTAGTAGAGATGGGGTTTCACCGTGTTGGCCAGGATGGTCTCGATCTCTTGACCTTTTGATCTGCCGGCCTCAGCCTCCCAAAGTGCTGAGATTACAGGCATGAGCCACCATACCTGGCCTGCAAGATTTATTTTGCTACCAAAAAAATCAGATTATTTATCACTTTTCATTGAAGTGTTTTAGTTTTTTCTGACTATATTCAAGATGCAATAATAAAGACTAAATTTTTCTATTCTAGAATTACAAAGTAAAAACTATACTTAATTTACTTACCCATTGCAAGGAAAAAAACTGCTTACAAACTGCTTAGAAACCTAATATATATTTAATTAAACAAAAATAATATAAGACATTTATAATGAATACCATGGATTAGCCTGTTTATCAAGAATGATTAGCCAGAAAGTAAATATGACATTAAGCCACTGCATGTTTACTGCAGTTTCAGTATCAGGTACAAGAAAGGCCTATCAGCTTTTCGGTACTCCATAAAGCAGCAATGGACACAACTTTCAGAAGTTTCAAAGGTTACTCTACAACACTGAGTGCAGATATTGTCAAACTCAAGAACTTAATTTGATGTATTATGTATGCTTTCAGTTACATAAATTGGTCTAAAAGCAAATGGGTTAAGAGGAAGCAAAAATTTAGGATTTGAAAGAATGAACAGCTGAAATCTATAGCTCAAAGATAAGAGGGACTAAAATAATCTTGTCTGTCACCTAGGGTGGAGTACAGTGGCAGGATCAGGGCTCACTGCAGCCTTGACTTCCAGGGCCCAAGTGATCCTCCTGCTTCAGCCCCTTGAATAGGTGGGAATTTAGGTATGTGCTACTACACCAGGCTAATTTTCTGGCACGCACCAAGTCGATGGGGAGTTTTAATAGAGATGAGGTCTCCTTATGTTTCCCAGACGGTCTCAAACATCTGAGCTCAAGTGATCCTGCCTCAGCCTCTCAAATTGCTGGGATTACAGGCATGAGTCACTGAACCTGGCTCCAATAAACTCCTTAGCCTCAGTTTCCTCACTTGCAGAAGGGAAATTATCCTTACACCTCATAGAATTGTTAGGGAGACTAAATGAGATCACCTATATAAAAATACCTACCAAAGCACCTGGTATAGAGCAAGTCCTCAATTAAAGTTACCTGAATAGTAAACAACAAAGAAAAAGGAAGTTGAGTCAAAAGAGGGATAATTATTTATGTTTATTTTTATTTTTTTATAAAGACGGGGTTTCGCCATGTCGGTCAGGCTGGTCTTGAACTCCCAACCTCAGGTGATCTGCCTGCCTTACCCTCCAAAGTGCCTGGATTACAGGCGTGAGCCACCACGCCCAGCCAAAGAGGGATACTTATGTCAGACGGAAGAGCATATGCAACATTTAAAAGACCACAGACTTCATTAATGGAATTTTACTACTCTGTCTCATTTTACAGTAATTCTCATCTTATATTTGGGTTACACGTAAAAGATTTTCTATTTTGGCAGGTTAACAGCAATGCTCAAAGAACTGTTTAACCAGACAGATTCCTCAGTTCATCCCGTCTTCTAGGTTAGAATCTCAGGTGGGATCCAGAACCTGCATTTGAAAAGAGTGCCCCAGGTGACTGTTCATTAATTAAGAGAATTCTCTTGAAATCCTCATTTTGGTGGAGGGAGAATCAATGTGACCAGAATCCTTCTTACATAATCCCCAAATAGAAGAGATTCTAGTATCAACATTATGGGTGTTCTATTGTGCTTTCCTACAGTCCTTGCAAAATGACTCTGAGGGATTCAACTGAGGGACTGGCCTTGGCTAAGATTGCCCATTTGCTTCCTTCTCAATGTGTAAAACTGGTGACTTGGAAAACTGTAGTGACATCCTGCAAATGTGTGTGTGTGCACGTGTGCGTGAGAGGTCATGGAGTTCACAACATAACATTTCTCATATGGGGATTAAATGGTCCTAAGGATCGGGTGCTACATTATTCTAGTAGTTTCTGGAGTCATTTATGAGCATGTGTTTACTGTTCCATGGGAGGCAGATGTAACTTATAAGACTTGATGTTTGTCTTTACTGAACAAGAAACTCAAGGAGAGTCAGAACGGGCAGGAGAACCACCGTGATTGTCGAATTCTGCTCAGATCACCTTGGGCCTGGTGAAATGTCTCCCTTTTGAGGACAGAAGCCCAGCACAGAGCTTTCCCCTTTATGCTGAATGCTTCCTAGTTCTCATCCCACAGAAAAAAGGTAACAACATTTCAGGAAAGAGAGAAAACAATTTTTTTTAAAAAGTCTAAAGTGATAAAAAGAAATATCGGAGAAAAAGGTCGAATGATGTCATTTGTATAATTAAATTAGTTATAAGCTAGCAGCAGACCTAGACTGAAGAAGAGGCTTTGCTACTGGGCTGGTGGACGGTGCCAGGCATTCGGTCTCCTCAACCTTCCCAGTCAGATGCCAGAGGCTTCGGCTCCTGTCAGTTTCTGTCAGGCCCTGAGCACATGCATGCTCTACATGCATCAGGGAAAGTAGAGAGAATGAACCAGAAAAAGCAAACAGTGGCTCTTTATTGGACCCTCATAGAGCCTGACAGGCCCTCCATGCTCTTCACCATCTGAGAAAGGTTCAGAAATAGGGAAAAAATTGAGATCACTTGAAAAATTTATCCTCATAGCATAAATCAGAATATTTTATTCTGCTTGAACTCACTGCAGGTGACAGTCAAGAAGAGAACCCCTGAGAAACTATTAAACATTTAGTAAGGCCAATTTACATAGGAATTAGCTTACTGATTATTGCTTTATCTACTAAAGCAGAGGTCTTCACATGTAAGAATGCATGTGTGGAATAACACAGACTTTTAAAAAGCGACTGTTCCAACAAAGTGACCAAGGCCTTCAGTTCTCACTGAGCTTCTTTATCATATTTTGGAATAAAAACCGACCTTTCAAGAGTCTATGGAGAGCCTTTCTTCAAAGAATGTTTTATATGAAGCAGCATTTTATGGTCAACAGGCCCATTCTTCGTTGGTATCCTTCTCTTTCTCATTTCCTCCCTCCCTCCCATTGAGCAAATATTAAAGTGCCCAGTATGTGCCAGGTATATTTCAGAAAACCCAGCGAACAAAATATGAAGACTCCTGGCCTCCTGGAGCTTACATTATCTGAAAGGATAATAGCAAATAATTATACATTATGATAGATGACAACTGATGTGAAAAAAGAAAACATAGAGTAGGATTAGGGGACTGGGAGTGCAGAAACGTAAACTGAGAGGTCGTGCAGGTCTCATAGAGAGATTTCATTTGCTCATGAGAGTAAAGACTTGAAGGAGATGCAGAAATGAGGTCAGCAGATATCTGGAGCAGGGAGAGTGATCCAGGCAAGGCTCTAAGGGTGAAGAGGGCAGGTATGCTTGGAGGAATTATCTAGTGCTGTGCTTCTCAAACTGAAGCAGGCATCAGTTCACACTGGGGCTGATGTTAAAGTGCCTACTGCCCCTGCCCCACAGATTCTAATTCCATAGGTCTGGGGTAGGGCCCGAGAACCTGCATTTCTAGCAAGTTCCTAGGGGATGTTGATACTGCTGATACGAGGATCACACTTTGAGAAACAGTGATTTGATACATTATTTTTAAAATTCTGAGTTACTAAATAATAGTGAACCATTAAATCAATTTAATAGGTTTGACCAGCAATTTTAAAAAAAGAAACAATAGGAAATAATGGAGCCCATCATGTTCAATGAAGGTAAGTACTGTTTTATGAAACTTTTATTTCAGTTGTATATAAATGTGTGAACTGCATCATGCTGTAAAATGTATTTTTTGCTGTGAGTGGTAGTCTAAAAAGGTTGAAAGCCACTGGACTAATTATTGTATCATTAAGTAATACAAGCCACATTAATATAGCAGAGAGAATTAGGGGAGTCCTGTTGTTCCAGTAGGACACTAAACTGAACTTGCCTTGGACCTTCTCTTGCAGTCACACACAAATTTCCCCACCTGGATTTCTCTTTCATCTTGGCTTTATGGAAACCTTTAAGACAGAGAAAGTCAAGTCCAGGTTTCTCTTAAACCTTCCCTGACAAGTTCTTTCCAGTGGTGTCTCTGTTCCTTCTTCCAGAACTTCTACACCATTCATTTAACACAAAGCATAAACTGCCCTGCTCTATTCAGCTGTGCAATGCAAAGGTGTGCCTTTCTCTCCTCAAAGGTGATACATTTTTCTGAGGGGAGGGGTGGTGTCTTACACACTTCTGCTTCCCCAACATCCTAGCAATGCTATGGTCAAAGTGAGGGTAAAATAACAAGCTGTGGTAGGAAGAAACAAACCACATTTGTAAGAGATGCTTGTTTGTATATTACAGGTGATACTGGTGATGATCATGATGATGAAAATTAATGTAAAGGGACAGATGAGTGCACATATCCTGAGAAGCAAATCTGGGGACAGCAGGGAAGGGTGGTAGAAACAGGGCCAAATACTGGAAAACCAACTGGCAGGGAAAGCTTAGTGGTAAGAGACCCTTCGTCTTCCACTCAAGAGCCTGGGCTGATGGGGCTTTGGGACAGCATGCCATAAAGAAAAGCCTCACTCTTCGCCAAGAAGAGTCCCTCCTTTAATGTTCCGCGCTAATGCCATGCAGTGAATAAGGAGAGTTGAAGGACCAAAGGAGGAATCAGGATTTTGGCTGAGAAGAAGGCGAGAAATAGGAATCCAGAGGCAGAGTGGAGAAGTTAATTTACCCTACAAATATGTATTGAATGAGATGGGTGTGCTGGGGGATGGTTTTTGCTATAACGGAGGGACCTGCGTGGTGCCACAGCAATGTGGAGAAAACCATCTGAGTGTGTGCGGGTGAATCAGAGTGGGCTTCATAGAAAGTAGGGAGCACGACAGGCCCTCCTGACAGACAGGCCACAAAATGTGAGAACCCAGAAGCTGCACACACGAAGGCCTGGCATGCAAGGACTCTGCCCACCTGGTGATGGGCCAGTGGCTGATAGGGTTAGAGCACGGGATCCATAGGAGGAAAAAGAACAAAACTTAGTGCCTTGCATGCTGGATCAGAGCAGGGTGTATGGGCAGCAAAAGGGCTAAGGATAACTGGGAGGAAGAAGAACGTGGAAGTGGGGATCCTGATTAGGCGTTTATAGCAATAGACTGTGGGGGAAAAGTGGAGAAGCCACATGGGAGGGTGGCAATGTGGAGGAAAAGGAATGACTTGAGAAATGGAATGTCTAGAGCTTGGAATATAACAGTACTTTTAAGTTAGAGGCAGGATGCTGGCTATTCATATTTCCACAGGTAGCGATACCCAAGGAGCACAGATGTGTGTGGAGGCAGGAGAGAGTGACTGGACACGCTGCGCTTGTTTCTGTGGGACTCCAAGGGGACCGTCCCAGCAAGGCACTCAGGAATCTGCTCTAGGGGTAGAGAACTGCTTAGGGTAAGATAGGGAAGAGACCCCGAATCGGAGAAAGGGGAAAGGTTTTAAGCAAGTCGATATTAAGAAGCTGTGAAAAACCTCTTGAAATTTCAGTTAGTGTAATTTTCTATATTTTCCTTTTTCTTTTCTTTTCTTTTTTTTTTTGATTGAGACAGAGTTTTGCTCTGTCGCCCAGGCTGGAGTGCAGTGGCACGACCTTGGCTCACTGCAACCTCTGCCTCCCGGGTTCAAGTGATTCTCTTGCCTCAGTCTCCCAAGTAGCTGGGATTATAGGCACCTACTACCATGCCTGGCTAATTTTTGTATTTTTAGTAGAGATGGGGTTTACTAACTTGGTCAGGCTGGTCTCGAACTCCTGACCTTGTGAACCACCTGCCTTGTCCTCCCAAAGTGTTGGGATTACATGCGTGAGACACCACGCCCAGCCAATTTTCGATATTTTCTTTATGCAACTAAAGACAACCATGAAAGTAGTTTAAAAAGTGGATATAAAAAGAATGCTTTAAAAATCATTTAGTGTGAAACTGGTAATTACTTTTAATTCCTATGACTTATCAAGTGTCTTGAGTAAATGAAAAGTTTGGTTAATGTCAATAACACATTATTCCATGCTTTTTTATTTACACTAAAAGGTAAGTTACTTCTGGTTAATTCCCCTTGAAAAGCACAATCTAGTTTTCAAACAGTAGACACAGTAAAATTCTTAAT